TTCTGTCATCTTCGCCTGTCAAGTTGGCACTGGTCATTCCGGTAGGGTAAACAGAGATGGCCGCCTTTATACACGACGGATACAATGTGCTGCTGCTTCTGATTGGTTAACCTTCTATTGGTGGACTATAAAGGGAGTTAAGTCATTTTCACTAACTCACTAGTTATATATATATATACACACAAAAAACTGTAACATTTTCACCCTCTGGTAACTTGTCACGGGAGAGTTTTTACCGGTTGTTTACCGGTTGTTTATTGCACAAATTGCCGATCCGTTGTTTGTCTCTTCAGTCTTGTTTACGTATGAAGCAACATTTAGAAGAATAACAAATTTACACAACCAACACTTGTGTGCGGATCGGAATCCCCATGCTATAATAAAGGCTAAACACCAGCATCAGTTTACGTGTAATATGTTGGGTGGAATTATAGGTGACTGTCTTGTAGGTCCATATGTTCTCCCAGTACGTGTTAGAAGAGTTGTCTACATATACTATATTTTGAACACACAGACCTGCTAGAGGATGTATCCCTGCTAATACGAAGATGTTTGCGGTTTATGCATGATGGGGCTCCAGCACATTTTAACCACATTGTTCGCGATGCACTGGCTGAGATCTTCATATGAAAGGATAGGTAGTGGAGGACCGGTTCCATAGCCTGCAAGTTTCTCCAACCACATTTCTTTGTATTTTTATCTGTGGGTCCACCTAAAACAATTGGTTTATGCAACAGACATTAATAATGAAGAGACACTTCATCAACATATCATGGGCGTCGGCGAAACCATTAGACACCATGTGGGGGTATTTGAATGTGTCCGCCAGTCAATGATCCGACGGGTGCATGCGTGTGTAGAAGCAAGCGGGGGATATTTTGAATATTTGTTATGAGTTGGTACGATTTCTACCCCTCAATCTCTAAAGAATTATTAGAAAACAGCTTAAGTTTTGCCAGAATCCACACTGACATTACTGACGAAGAAATAAAAATCATAATGGACTCTAGACAGTCCATACTAAAACTGAACAACACTACTTGGATTAAAAAAGATAGAGACAATTTTGATGTCCCAATGGGATCTTTTGATTCAGCTCAAATAGCAGATCTAATAGGTATATACATTTTAGATATCCTAAGTAGATTCCTTGACCCTCAAAATATAGGACTATACAGAGATGATGGGTTAGTTGCTGTACCTAATACTAATGGTCCAAAAACATCCCAACTACAAAAGAAAATAATTAGGGCCTTCAAATTTCTAGGATTTAGAATCGAGATTTCTTCCAACTTAAAAATAGTAAACTTCCTAGACGTTACATTTAATCTGAACAATAATACTTATAAACCCTTCCAAAAGGAAAACCAATCACCCATATATATAAATATTCACTCCAATCACCCGAAATCAATAATTAAACAAATCCCAAATGCAGTAAATGCTAGAATAAATAAACTTTCCTCCAGTAAAACAATTTTTAACCAGAATAAATGGGAATACAATAAAGTCCTGTTAAAAAGCAATTTTAAGCAAACACTAAATTACATAGATAAGTCAGTAAGTAAAAAATCCACTAAACCCAAAAATAGAAAAAGGAAAATTATATGGTTCAATCCACCTTTTTGTAACCTCTCCAATATTAACATAGGTAAATACTTCATAAAACTGATAGAAAAACACTTTAACAAAAATGCATCTCTGAAAAAAAAATATTCAACAAGATGAATCTAAAGATTAGCTATTCTTGCATGAACAATATGGAAAGAATTATTAGCTCACACAACAGTAAAATTTTAAAAGACCTTCAGGATAATCTAAGACAAGATCAGGATACAACACGAATGGAAAAATCAACATGCAACTGCAGGACAGGATCAGAGTGCCCAGTTGAAGGAATATGCATGGCAGAGAACACAATATATGAAGCAACAATTTTCCCCAAAGAAAAGGTTGAAGAGAAAAAGATATACATTGGAATATCAGCGGGAGATTGGAAACACCGACTATACAACCATCGCCAATCCTTCAAAAATAAGTGTAAAAAAAAAAACAAACAGCACTATCAAATCATTATTGGTTTTTGTTGGAGAGTGGCCTAACACCACAAATAAAGTGGAGAATAATATCAAGAGCCAGAACTCCCAAAAACTTCAGAGACAGATGCAACTTATGTTTGAAGGAGAAAATCTTCATAATCAAACAAAGATCCAGACATACTACTAAATAAACATAATGAACTAGTTTTTAAATGCCGACACAAAAACAACCTAAACCTAAGTAAGTACACTAAGAAATAATCATATAGGAACAGCAATTTTGAATGTTTTATATTCCCTTTGTTTTTAGAAATATTACTATGCACACGTGGACGCTAACACATGTATACAACTATGATAATGTATTTGCACACTGAGACACCTGTTGATATGTACATGTATATGTTTTTATACGGAAAAAGAAACATACCAGTTTTTTTTTTTTGTGAGTGTGGAGATGTACAATTAGTTAGATACTTATATGTTTTGCCATAAATATGAAAGATCGGGTAATATTATATGTGTAAAGACATAGATAATGTAATTAAATACTGAGATAGTCTTCGAACGCAGGCATAAGTGGATGCACAGATGGACATGAGAATAGGGACAAATACGTAGGTAGAGATATATGTAAGTGCAAATTAACACATATGTGGGTATATAGATATTCTGCAAATTGCGTATGCATGTGTGTGTGTATGTATATATATGTATATACGTATGCATATATGGGTGTGTGTATGTATGTGTATACGTATGGATGTGTAGATATATATATATGTGCGTATGAGTATATATGGGCATGCAGATGTCCTGTGTATATATATATATATATATATATATATATATATATATATATATATATATATATGTAAGTATAAGTATACATGGAGACAGGTATGGAGACATGTGGATGTGCGTTCTCTCTGCAGGTGTATATGTGTAAAGATGGAAATATACATATATCGCTTCGTGTGAATGTATGTGTAGGTGTATATAGGAACTCATAGGCATATAAGACGATATAGGTATGTGGTTACAAATAGGGGTTTAAGACATGTGTAGATAAGAAAATATAAAAGAAGGGCCTAAAAACAACCACGAGTTTACTTAATGAACAAAAATCAAAAACAATCACGAGTTTACTTAATGAACAAAAATCAAACGAATAAATGTCAACCTAACAAGCTATAAGATAAAAGCTTTAGTAGAAAAAGTACTAAATATAAATTGGATTACTCTTTCAATGTTATGTCTATGGATCTTTCCAATCGACGGCTTCATAGGAAATACCCAAAACTCCACCGAATTTCAAATTTCTTCGTAGATTGTTTTAAAATTTTAGATATTTATCAAACCTTAACCTCCCAAATACGCACGTTAAAGTAACGCGAACTGACAGCGTCTAGGAATTTGAATGAAACCTGCCGTGTAATTTATTGGGGCTGTTGTAACGCGTCTTCCTTAATGTAGCCCTTATCGCTCACCCCTTAACCACCTTTATCTAGAGACGAGACGCGTTAGATTTGAGCAACATCCAGCCGACACACTGGGGTTAAAATAGGAAACTAAAATGATACATATGACACACTCATATCCTCTCTCCCACCTCACTTTCTCACTTCGTTAACTTTGCGTATACTTGATGAGGTCCGTAAAAAACGTGTGAATTTCTTTTCATTTTTATTTCAGCTTTTGGAAGTAAAGTTCTGATGATCCAGAACCCTGTTAAAGGGGTTCTGGGTGAAATAGCTTATTACATGGAATCTTAACGTGGTCTGTCATTTATTCAAATATATATATATATATATATATATATATATATATATATATATATATATATATATATATACGAGAGTAAGTCAAAAGGTATCCGACCTTTTAACATAACATATGTTTAAGCTTGTCATGTTGCTTTCTGCTCTTGCTTGATTATAGTTGGTACTATTGTGGTCACGTGATAGATGTTTGAGCTTGATCGCGCCAGTTTCCTTGCTGCTGCTACAATGTAAACATGTCCGCACTGCCAGCAGTTTGCACCAAGGAGGAACAATAAGCTGTGATGTAATTTGTCTGCTCAGAATTTGTGTCAGGGGCCGAAGTTCATTGGTGGCTTTTAACATGATATGGCGACAGTGCACTACCATGTCGAAGTCTTTATGAGTGGATGGAGAAGTTTAAAAGTGGCCGGACGAGCTTGAGGCCCGAGAAGGAGCAGGACGTCCGTCAACTTCCACCACTGACAAGATCTTGCAACCTCGAGAGATGTTAATAGAAAACCGACGAGTTATTATCATTGTGCTTGAGGATGGGGATATTAGAATATTTTGGTTATACTAAGCGACACAATCCGGAAGTGATGGCTAAGCGCATCTTTTGTTACTGTCCATCTGGTCTGAGGTTCTGTGGGCGAGCTGGTTGCTCACATGTAGCCCAAAACTTTCATTGCCCTAGACCTTTATATATGCGACAATATGTCCCCTCCGTGAAATGCATGATGTTCTTCACAAAACCAACAGTAGCCAGAACGGTTGTGTGGCAGGCAAAACCTAGTGTTGCCCGAAGATCAGTTGCCTCAGCGTGGACAGGTTTCATATTTCAAGCATCAGTTCAAAGGAAAGATTAGAAGGACTGACCAAAGAGAATTTCAGTAACAGATAAGTAAAAGTGACAAGTCTTTTTACATCTGAAAGATGCCAACATAGAGTTTTTTTTAGCAAAATTTGAAGAGAATTTTCACTTCTGGGAACGCTCTTCCTGGTCCTCATTAGCCTGTTAAAACGCAGCTGAGTGTGTGATCCGTCTATGACAATTCATCATTTCTTCTCTGCCTTACTTCTTTGCAAGCCAATATTTATAGTAAGTAATGCATAAATAGTTGACTGGCAAATGGGACTGATAAAATGAATATTGTTCATGCATATGTCTTGTATGAGAAAATAGTTTCATTCCTCGCTACTACGCACTGCTAGCCGAGCGGCCATGTTTACACTGTAACAGCAGAAAGAAAACCGGTGCGATCAAGCTCAAACTTTGATCACGTGACCACAATAGTACAAACTATAAGCACGCATGAGCAGAAAGCAGTGTGACAAACCTAAATGTATGTAAAAGTGCGAATACATATTGACTTACCCTCCTGTATTATTATATACTTTGTCTTTCCAAATGACATGATGTATTGTGTAACCTGAGGGGTACCCCTGGAGATATATTGACCTATTGTAAGAGGAGGATGCGTGTTTTTACCAAGGGTAGAAACGGACACATAGAAAGAAAGAAAGAAAGAAAGAAAGAAAGAACAGAGAGACGGAACGAAAGAAAGAAAGAAAGAAAGAAAGAAAGAAAGAACAGACAGACAGTTAGACAGACAGAAAGAAAGAAAGAAGAAAAGAACAGACAGAAAGAAAAAAAGAAAGAAAGAAAGAAAGAAAGAACAGAGAGATAGATAGAAAAAGCGAACGATTGTGAGAGTATAACTGAGATTGGTAGTTAATGAGATATCTTTGTTGCGTATGTAGGGAGTAAAGAAATTTTCCCATCACCCACTCATCTGTAATATTGTGCATACATATGTAATATATATATATATGTGTGTGTGTGTGTATATGTGTGTGTGTGTGCGTGTGTGTGCGCGTATGTGCATGTAGACAGAGATAGAGGAGAGAGAGATAGTGTCGAAACGCGGTTAAAGTAGAAATACAGAAAGAGAAAAAGAGAGGAAGGAATGGACATAAAGAAAGAGAAAAAGAGAGGAAGGAATGGACATAAAGAAAGAGAAATAGTAGGAGTGAAAAGGACGAAGTCAAGAAACAGATATCTTCCTAAAGTTGTATGGAGATAATGAGATTAAGAGACTGTAATAGATAGATAGATAGATAGATAGATAGATAGATAGATAGATGAACGGACCGAGATAGATAGATAGATAGATAGATAGATAGATAGATAGATAGATATGAACACGAGATAGAGAGATAGATATTAACACTACCCACACATCTGTAATATTACTTGTGTATAATATTACTTGTGTATATATGAAATCGACATAAAGAAAGAGAAAGGGGAGAGAAAAGCGGGACAACGTGAAACAGATATCATCGTAGATATGTGCGTAAATAATGAGATTAAGAGACTGTAATAGATAGATAGATAGATAGATAGATGATGAACGGACCGAGATAGATAGATAGATAGATAGATAGATAGATAGATAGATAGATAGATAGATAGACATGAACAGACTGAGATAGATAGATAGATAGATAGATAGATAGATAGATAGATAGATAGATAGATATCAGGCAGATATCTTTGGCAGATAGACTTTTTGATAAACAGAGATTAAATCATTGAAATTTTTTCACTCGTTGAGTCCAAGTCTCTCGTGAAACCCACAAAATAAACTCACTCAAAACTGATTTTTATTCCATTAAAATTTACTAAACTTCTATAAACCAAAATGATGAGGTTATTATAGACAGTATAATTTTTGTCCCAGAATTTTGATATCATTTAATCAAATTTGGATGTTCGTGTCATACAATGACCCTCAGAACATATTTGCGCAAACGGTTATGCTCTTATAATTATTCTCGCGTGCTTACCCACGCATGCATTACTATATATATATATATATATATATATGTGTGTGTGTGTGTGTGTGTGTGTGTGTGTGTGTGTGTGTGTGTGTGTGTGTGCGTGTGTGCACGAGCAGACACTCACATATATATATATATATATATATATATATATAAAGAAATATACCCTTAAGGTGCTATATTTATAGGATAAAGTGCTCAATATCAGAGATAGAGCCTGTGTAAATATAAAAGTGAACATTGAAGTCAACACTTAGAGGCGACAGGCTGTTTCATGCACGATTGCATTGAACATGAAACAGCCTGTCGCCTCTAAGTGTTGACTTCAATGTTCACATTTATATATATATATTTCATTCATAACAGGTTCGGGGGTTTTGTATATTATTTGAATTGTTTGCGACGATGGATTTCTCGCCAATTAAATCATTAACCTTTGCATTTGTTTTTGCATGAATAATTCATGAATTTGTAAATTGATTGCACGTTTATCGAAATTAAAATAACTGATCCAAGTGCGACTTTTGGATAATAAGTGCGACATTGCTGTAATTATTGAACAATATAGTTCATGCCACTTTGACAGAAAATTTACCAGTAAAATAAAAAAAAAAATTCGCTTATCACCATATTTGTACAAGAACGCACAACTGTAAAATTTAAAATCAAACTCAGCGTTGCTACTGCACGCTCCAAAAACAATAACTCATTTCCAATAGCATTTTTCGGATACAACAATACATATATTTTCGTTGTCCTCTTATTACTGAGAGAAAAAACAAGAACAACATCTATTCCATACCTGAAGATGTCTGTAGGAACAGACGAAAGCTTGTAGTAAAAATAAGAACTAATGCAGCAGAAATTTATAGAAACAAGGATCTTTTCATTCATAACAGGTTCGGGGTTTTTGTATATTATTTGAATTGTTTGCGACGATGGATTTCTCGCCAATTAAATCATTAACCTTTGCATTTGTTTTTGTATGAATAATTCATGAATATATATATATATATATATATATATATATATATATATATATATATATATATATATAGTAATCCCCCCAATGGATGCCTTGTGCCACATCTAAGCTATGCTTAGAAAATCATTTTGGGCACCTCGAGGCTGTGTAATGGTTAACAAGCTTGTCTCGCTGGAACAATTACGACTGAGTCGTGAGTTCGATCCTCGCTCGGTGCCCCATACTTTCGGCCTTGTTCCACATTTAAGCTGTGCTTAGAAAATCCCCATATAGTAAGCCCCAGTTCCGGTGCAGTGGTTATGTGGACACCCACCGAGGCGGGGGGCAACAATCTACTACATTTCAATTGTCATAACGTAGTATTCATATGAAATACAAATTTTATTGTAACCAAATTATGTACAATAATGGATCATATGCAATAATTAATAGTTGAACAATTCAACTAGAAAAATTTTCATACACTCATAATTGTCCATAGTTCAATTTATAACGTACATAAATGTTTGTAAAACAAAAAAACAAATATTCACAAGTTAGCGAGGGTCACAAAGCACTCCCCGGGGCCGGCAATAATGCTTACCGCCACCCCAGTCAGATGGTTCGTGTTTGTACGCACCGGCCGTGGTAGTCCCATCTATATCATGGCACTAATGACATAAATTACCTTTTATTGCCAAAATGAGAGCAGTCCTAGGATCTAATGAAATATAAGACTTATTAGTTTATCAGTCTTCTGCCTCTGAAGTAATAACGGAAGAAGGTTTTCTCAAATACCAATATTTCCCAAGAGTTTGAAGAACGCATCACATTAACAGTTGCACAAGAGATTCTTTTTTTTTTTGCAAAATACGACACCGATCAATTTCCCTCTAAAAACGAGACCTTCAAACGAATAAATTCATTTATCTGAAGTGACTAAGATAGATAGATAGATAGATAGATAGATAGATAGAAAGAAAGGAACAGAATGAAATAGGCAAATACAAATTTATATAGATAGATAGATAGATAGATAGATAGATAGATAGATAGATAGATGGGAACATGCATATATAGATAGATATGAGTGAACTGGGATTGATGGGGACGTAGATAGAAATGAACAGAATGAAATAGCCAGATATGAAACGGATATATATATATATATATATATATATATATATATATATATATATATATATATATATATATATATATATGTGGATAATAGCAGGTTGAAATAGATTCGAACTGTTTGAGGTTGATAAATTGGATAAGTGATCCATGGAGATCCATTGTCCAATTGAGTTAATGACTAGATTGAGTTAGACCTATCTCTTTCTTTTTCTCTCTCTCTCTCTCTCTCTCTCTCTATATATATATATATATATATATATATATATATATATATATGTGTGTGTGTGTGTGTGTGTGTGTGTGTGTGTGATTTGCTAAAGACGACTGACATGGTGTTGCTAGTTTAAGCTTTTTTAATTTTTTTTTCTTCATGTTCGTTTAAGTATCTTCTTTTCCAGACACAGTGTGTGTAAAAACAGTCCAAAGTTTTGCTTTTCCGAGCGTTTTCGGCTATTCTTTTAGCCATTATCAAGGGCGATATTTATTTTTAACTGAATATGTAGGCTTTATTTATGTGTCAGAAGTTACACGTGTGTTTTATTTTTCGAACACGGTCAACTCATTGTGGCCGTGTTCGTAGTTAATATCATTGGCTTTTCCTTTTTTATCATTTGGCCTTTCATTGTTTTTAATCTTTTTTTTACATGTGGAGGAGGCTATTATACTTGTATTTTCTATTAGTGTGTTTCGAATGGAGTTTGATAGATTGGCGTGTTGGTTTAAACACTCACTCTTCTGTTCATTAAGACACGGCAATGATAAGACATTTAACGCTTCCAAAAAACTCATCTGAGGAAACCCTTTCTGCCTTCCATCAGTATGGCTGATGCTAACCTTCAGAAAAGTGACTCGTTGCGCCTTCTCGAGGTAACATTCTCATGAAGTGGAAAGACCATATCGAATCTATTCATAGGTCAGCTGCTAAGAAAATCGGTTCACTTCGTCGTACAAGACGATTTTTCTCCCCGGAATCTATCTTACATATCTCTAAGTTTACCATTAATCCATGCTTAGAATATTGCTGCCATATATGGTCAGGTGACCCTTCTATTTAAATGAGCTTCTTGATAAGATCCAAAGCAGAATCGGCAATATAATTGGTCCTGATCTGGTCTCTCGGCTTCTGTCACTTGCCCACCGCTGTAAGGTTACCTCTCTGTGTCTTTTTATAAATATTTTTATGGTAATGAAACACATCGCTATGGTAACTAAACTGTATGAATTTAGGCGAAATACTAGACCGGCATAGAGATCTTATCAATATACAGTTGAACTAACGAGACGTAACCATAACTTCTATACTAACAATTTCTTTTCTCGCACATCTGGCTTGTGGAACTCCCTTCCGGCTCCATACTTTCAAGCCAACTTTAATCTGATAGAGTTTGACAGTTTTGTGTGTACATTAATTACATGTCAGTGATAAGGCATTTAACGCTTCAAAAACTAAACTCCTCTATTAATCATCTGCGGGACCCCTGTTTGCCTTCCAATATTTAGATAAAATAAATGGAAAGGGAAATTCGTGACCTAAAATGCTTAATCGATAGTAACATATGAAAAAAGCCCAACAGATTCAGTCAGTTATGTGCCATGCGTGACACACGCTTAGGCGATCATGTATCTTTCGATACATGACTGACGTGGCAGATTTCTTCCCGTTGTAGGTTGCCATTTCTTTCCGATAGCGTCTCGGATTGAGGAATCGGAGAGCCGAATTCGAATTCCAGTCAAATCCATTACATTCACTTACGTGCTAATACTCTTCTTCTCTCCCCCCCCATCTATGGGTAAATAGTAGGACAGACTGGGTTCTATAGCCTTGGATGGCAACTAGTCTACCACAGAAAGAAATGCCAACCTACTGCGGGAAAAAATCTGCCTCCTCAGTCATGTATCAAAAGATACATGATTGCTTAAGTGTTTTTCACGCATGGCACACTGACTGACCTCCAGATTACGAATTTAAAAATATTACAGTTTAAGAAATTGGCTTGGTTGTTTTTTTAGCGGCATATTGATTCCTCTATGGGTTAATTAATGACAAAATCTACATATTTAGTACGCAATTCTTATTTTTTAAATCATAGAAGTCTTACTGATTAACCCATAGTTGGGGAGAAATCGTTCCCAATGGTTTTTGCGCAATGTTTAAAATGAACCAAACTTGAATTAGAACTCGGATTTCCTATTAACAATTCTATTTGATCGTTACACCAGCCGCACATCTAAGCTAACAGGACCTGTTATTCCAAAACAATCACCCACGTCACGTTGGTGATCGTACGGGACCCGGTGTTGCAACGTGATGTGACCGTAAGTCCGTTTAAGAAATAATGTTCTATGAACATATTTGTTTTGACTTCCATAGGTGGGTAAATTTACAATGAATTTATATAGCAAACTGGACCCACTATTAACTTAAATATATTTCATTATATCCAGGATCTGGAATGTCTGATCTTCACATTTGTGCAAAATTAATTGAAACAACTGCTTTAGTTTCCTTTCTTTCACCTTTCGGTCAGTTTTAGACGCACTGGAGTGAGACGGTGTAATCGATTTCTGTTTTTTTCTCGGATTAGGTCATTTGCAGTGGTGTGCTGTAATATGAATCAATTTTCGGGGTGTATGATGAAATTTGTTTGGTCTTGAAAAATATTGCGTCGCCCGTGATTGCATCAGATTTTTATCACGCACAGACACTACTGTTTCGACTGTCGATTAGTTGTCCTACAGCCATTGTCTGCGATGGACGTTTCTCCTAGGAAGCTTACGAAAATTGTAACGCTGCACGGACACATTGGTAAGGCTTACCAGTGAGCAAATCAAAGTACTAGAGATTGGCCCAGAAACTTCCCTAATTTAAATCCAATCGAGAATCTGTGGTCAATCTGCAAGGAACGACTTCGTGGAATGGATATACGAAGTACATACACATGCACTGGATCAGGTTTCATTGGAAAAATATATTAAAAAAAAGTAAATAATAACGGAATTATTCGTTTTGCTTTAATTTACACAAGGGTATATAGTAATATTGAAAAATATTGAAAAATGGTTATTTCTGGTCGAAGTGTTTATTGCACAAATCCAGCAGAAATATATATTTGTAGACGTCTTTTTATCCTAGCAATCTCTAGTCACAGTTACATATGCCAACAGTATTCTCGAGACAAAATGGTTCTAATTTTAAATGACATATGCCAACAGGTATTCTTAGGATAAAGGCATATTTACCTCGAGACATTCCCTAGTTAAAAGTGCCTCTACTCTGATATGCGTGGTTAAAAGTACATTTACTGAAAGATAAAGGCATCTCTTGACAAACATTATCTGGGTGAAAGAATGTATATCAATTGACATTCCCTAGTTAAAAGTACCTTTCCTACCAGACCATAAATGATTACATATGCATTTACCAAATGATATTCTCAAATTAAAAGGATTAATCCTTACACACATTCTCTGTGTAAAAACTGTGTTGTATGGAAGTAATAGTAACTCTAAAGTGTGCCATATCTCAACACTGAATTACTACTCTTTCTATACGACTTAAAATATAAACACAGAAAAATATGGTAACAACGAACACTTTGATGGGGATAAATTATACTTTGGACAGTAATCACGATCTACAATTCCTACACAGAGTTTGATTTGTTTCCCCCGGCTGATCAACTCGTTGTCGGTTATTTAAAGCGGAAATATACAGGGTGTCCATAAAGTTCGCGTGCACTTTAAAAAATTTATAACTTTATTTGCATTTGCGATAGAAATAATTTGTAAAAAGGACTAGAAAGAAGTAAATCTACATTTTTTAAGGTTTTATTGAAATTTTAAGTTTCCACATGTTCTCCATCATTAGCATTACAAAGGGTAATACGATTTTGCGGTTCACGGAAAACATTTGCCAACTGATTTACAGTAAGGCCTGAAATCACATTAGTTATTTTAGCTATACTTAAAACTAGGTACATTAAATTTTAAAACATTTTTTTACAGATTATTTCTATCGCAAATACAAATGAAGATATAAATTTTAAAGTGCACACTAACTTTATGAACACCCTGTATTTTTGGACTGTATGAAAAATTTCAAGTGAATATTGCAATAAAAAATCTTGGGAACACAAGTCCCCTTGGTAAAAATATATATCCATCTCCTCTCCACCACCTATGGGTTAAATATTAGGATTTTATCTGTAAAATTCATTGTTATTCTCAATAAATTGTTATTACAATATTGCAAAGAATTATTCTTACTGTACAAAAAATATGTTTCGGCTCTAAATTATCCAAAGGGAGTTGATAAAGACATCATATCAATGATTAGGTATTAAAGCGTAAAAAAATGTTTTCTGCTACAGCGGATTATATCTACACGTGATATCACAGGTAGGATTGATTTAGCAAAGACATATTTCTGATGATTATATATTCAAGGGTAGCACGTTGTTTACTGACACAGTTAATTCTACCTAAATGCGATACCACAAGTAGGTTGTATTAAGCAAAGGCATCTTTACAATGATTACATATTCAGGCTTAACAGGTTGTTTTCTGAAACAGCAAATTCTATCTACACGTGATAGAACAGGGAGGATATATAAAACAAAAGCATCACTTTCATGATTACGTATTCAAGCGTGACAAATTGCTTTGTAACACAGCAGTCGGTAGAAGGAAATGTAATTCCCGGTTATATATAAGCTTCGAAAGAATTTGTAATTTATGTTGTCAGAACATCAGCATTTTTGTTATTGCCTCCTTCTTTCTTTTATGTGCCGTGTCCCTTCAGGACGTAGGCGATCATGGCTCTCCACTTCCTCCTATCCCTTGTAGCTCTCACTATGTTTTGTTCTTTTGCTATTTATCCCAGGCCATATACTGTCATTCACTTGCTTAAGCCCGCAAGGTATGTCATGCGTTGCTTTCCCTTTTGTCTTTTTCCT